ACGTGGCAGGAAGGATTAACTATGGGGTACAGAAAGGTTGTTATTGTGAGCCCAATAACAGGGAGGCACCTTGCTCAGTTCCAACACCTGTCATGAGGAAAGGGTTTGATCTGTGTTTACTGAATACACTAGGGGAAGGTGATGAGGATCAGTATGTTTAACAAATTAACTTCCCTAGAATCACCAGTGGCACCATACACACAGCCCCCCACCCCTCCACTCCAAGGCAGAGTCTTGCTGGGTAGTCCCGATGACCTAATCCTTCTGCATTAGTATCCCACACACTAAGCTTAACGTGCCACCATGTCTAGCTCCGGAGACTCTCAGAGCTATCTTTCAAGTAATGGCCCATGTGGGTTACAGCAACTTTATGTAAACATTGGGAACTGTGATTGGGTAGCACCACTGATGTTTCTGTCCTGCCCCATCCTGATGCTTGGAGATGGAGGCCAGAAAAGGTCTCAGCGGCTTAGGCAATTCACTTGCAAATTGATTATCAAGGACAGTTTTATTCTGGCGGAGCTGTTCTAGATGTGGTTGATAGATGATGTAGATGGCAATGATGCCGGTTCTCCGGCTGTTTGCAGTGTCTCATTATTACCTGTCCTTTCCAACACAAAGCAAAACTGAGGACTTACCGCTGCGGGATGGTTTTACCTGCATACCTAAACTGTGAATCTATTATGAACATTTCATCTCCTCTCTTATCACAGTCTGCAGTGAGCCATCTGTCAATCCATCCAGCAATTCAATTTAAGAAATAAGTTACAGACGTACTAAGAACTGATGCATTGTTCCTTCAAAATACGGTAGCATTCCCACCCTCTACCAGGGCAGTGTTTCTAGGCTTTTGAGGTAAATTTTACATGCAATGAAATGCATAAAACATTTATATTCACTAGTTGAGACTTGACAAGTGTATAAATGCCTGTGGGCCAAGTATTATAAAGATACAGTATATCACCATAGCAACTGGCCTTCTGATTTTTTTCACTATAATTTTCACAGGATTTCTGTCGGTGTAAATAAAGAATGTGTTAAGGAGTAAGCACAGCTCATTTCACTTCTAGAATATTTTCAAGGATCACTCAAAACAAATAAAAATGGTCTTGGGATTTTAAGAGCCACCCACAGCCTGTGTGTGTGTGTGTGTGTGTGTGTGTGTGTGTGTGTGTGTGTGTGTACAGCTACCCTTAGATACAAGAAGAGGATGTTGGAAGTTTCAGGTGGTGAGCTGTCTAACATGGTGGAAAACATACATGAGCCCTTTGCAAGAACAGTAAGTGCTTTTAACTGCTGAGCTATCTGCTCCCTCCAATGCTATCTGTGTATCAGGAGCTGAGCCATCTCCTTACCCCAATGGTACCTTATGTACCAGGTCTTGCTACTTTGTACCCCACTGAAGAGAAATATCATAGATTATTAACCTGTTTTCCCACTGAGAGATACTTAAATGCTTTCAGATTTTGTTCTTAGGGATAAAATACTCTTGCACAAATTATTTTGTGGACCTATGTTTTCATTTCTGTTGGATTAATACTTTGGAATTAAAGGATCATACAAAAGATGGTAGTTTGTTTTATAAAAATCAGCTGTGTTTTCCGAAAGTATTTAATGCATACAATAATCCCACCATTACTGTATGAAGGAAGAATGTGTTTTCACTGTTTCCAAAGGGCCTCTCTGCATGTGTTTTTTTCTAACTGGAGATGTAGGTGAATTTAGAGGCATGGGCATGTGATACAGGGGACCCTCTCCCTATCATCATTGCCACAGCCTTGGGATTCTGGGAGGCGTCTGGCTGTGTGGGAATGGGTGCAATGCTATGAGACCACACAGGGTACTCAGGACACAGCAGACCTTAGTGGTTAACCATAGATAGAGACAAGGGGATGTGCTTTGTTGGTGAATCATGACACCTTTGCCTTGGGGCAAACAAATCCTTTTGTCTTTACCTTTGAAGCAATGGATAACCAAACCAAATATCATATCTGGAGAAACACAAGCCCTGGTCAGAGTTAATAGCCAGAAAGGGAGAGATAATGCCATAAGGAAGAAAGTTGGCATCAAGTGTGAGGCCAAGATGTAGAGGTAGATATATATATATATATATATATCCATTTTTCTCTTAGAATGATAATGTCTCTCATTTTCAGAAAGCAACCTTTTTCCCCGTGTGTGTGTGTGTGTGTGCGCGCGCGCGTGCCTGTGAATTACACACATGTGAAAGTCAGATAGCTTGCAGAAGTCACTTCTCTCCTTTCACCATGTGTGCTGTGGGGATCAAATTCGGGCTGTCAGATTTGGCAGCAAGTGTCCTTACCTGAGAGGATCTCATCAATCCCACTATGTTGTTCAAGCTGGTCTCAAAACACCTGGGCCTAACTGATTCTTCTACCTTAGTCTTCTGACTAGCTAGGACTCCAGGCATGTGACACCATGACTAGCTTTGAAGCAGCTTTTAGATAAGGATTTATTGTCATGCTTTAATGGGTTAGGCTTAAAACTAATCCATCGTATGGGGTTATTACAAAGTCTTTGGTCCTCTGTGTTCTCTTTATGGCAGCATGGTTTATAAAACACACGTTGCCTGTGTCCTCCCTTTATGTACATACCACATGGGCAAACATTTGGCCAGGAAACAGATGGTCTTAGAATTGGTTCAGTGTTTATGAGTAAGGGTTAGACAACTGGTTGATTCAGGATTCGTGCTTCTCTGAGCAAACTAGTTGAAAAGAAGCAGAGTTACAGGGAACCCAAGGCAGAGGATAGCTTGGAGGTAATCCAGCACCTTCTCACAGGGAGATGGTAGAGCTGAATCCAGGGTGGGTGTGACTGTAGGACCTCCAGTGTCTGACTGGTTGTTGCAGTTAGGATTTCAGGGATGATGAGGAAAAATTACACTTACGTCAGCTCAAACTCAAGTGACTTAATTGAAAAGAGGAGTTAGTTGCTTTCCCTCAAACTCAATCCCTCAGTCTCATTCCAAGCAAGTGAGCATTGCAACAGAGCACCAGCCACAGCTTCCCTTCTCCCCTGCCCAGATCTCCTGTGGATCCCACAGACCATCCCCTCCTGATCTCCCTTCCCCATCTCATCACAGTATTCCAGCCTCCAACACCAGCAGGGACCCCTGTAAGCACACCAGCAGTTAAACACGCAACACACAGCTATCACACTGAAGATCCAAAGAAGAAACAGAAATGAAGGAACAAGGCACCCAGCCAACAAAGACAAACCCAGAAACCAACACCTAGACCTATAGACACCCCAAACCCAGATGCCCAGACACCAACTGGGGGGGTACATTGCCAGGGACAACATCCATACAACTCATTGAACGTGGAGAAGTCAAGCTGTTACCCACATGGGGACCTCACTCCTACATTTTAGTCTTTTTGGTTCAGGCTACTGAAATAGAAACATGGATACCAGCCCAGTCACAAACCCTGTGACCTACAATCTGTCCTGCCTGCAATATATGATAAGGCAGTGGTGGCACAAAATTTGTGGGGATATCCAACCTGAGACTAGATAGCCCAGAGACCTTGTGGGGGAAATCCTTAATGATATTCTGCTGCACTCATAGACCAGTGCCTTATCCAGTCACCAGCAGAGTTTTCCTCAGGCAGCCGATAGAACAGATGCAGGGACCCACAGCTAGACCTATGCAGAGTCTAAATTGGGCGTCTCCATCAAATCCCTCCCCTCGGAGCTCAGGGAACCCTGCAGAAGAGGAGGCAGAAAGACATCAAGAGCCGGAGAGCATGGAGGACAGAAAAAGAACATGGTCCTTCAAATGAACTAACCAAGGAGCATATGAGTTACAGAGCCGGCTGTAGCAAGCACAGGGCCTACTTGGGTCTGCACCAGGTCCTCTGCGTACATGTTATTGCTATTACCTCAGTATTTTCTTTTTTCATATTTTTTATTTAACTTTTTACACATGTTACTCTCAGTTCCCCCCTCTTCTCCCCCGTCCCCTCAATCCTCCCAAACCCTCGCCCCCAACTCCATCCTCCCTCCACTTCCCAAGGAGGGCAAGGGCTTCCTTACATAAGGGATTTTCAGAGTTGTCACATCATCCCTGGCAGGGCCTAGGTCCTCCCCCATGTGTCCAGGCTGAGAGAGCATCCCTCCATGTGGAATGGGTTCCCAGAGTCCATCTGTATGCCAGGAATAAATACTGCTCTACTCTCCAAGGTCCCACAGATTTCCAAGGCCAGGTTGCGGGGGTGGTGGTGGTGGTGGTGTCTGGATCAGTCCCATGCTGGCTCCTCAGTCATCAGTCTGGGGTCCACATGTTCCGCCTTGTTTAGGTCAGCTGCCTCTATGGGTTTTGCCAGCCTGATCTTGATTCCTTTGGTCATCACTCCTCTTTGCAACTGGATTCCAGGAGTTCAGTTCGGTTCCCAGCTGTGGGTGTCTGCCTCTGCCTCCATCAGCCACTGGATGAGAGTTCTATTACTTCAATATTTTCATGGACTCCTGACCCTGAGAACAATAGGGTCTCTCACTCTTGGGCCTGCTCTTGGGACTCTTTTCCTCCTGTTGGGTTGCCATGTCCAACTTTGGTATGAAAGTTTTTGCTTCATCTTGTTATATTTTATTTTGTCATGTTTGCTTGTTTTCTCTTTAAAACCTGTTCTTTTCTAATGAGACAGAAAGGGATTGGATACTGAGGGGAGGTAAAGTGGGGAGGACCTGGGAGGAGTAGAGGGAGGGGAAACTATAATCTGGATATATTGTATCCTCAAAGAATCTATTTTCAATTTAAAAACTTCCTTTATATCAAATTACAATGTTTTTCTTACAAATAAATATTGTTTGGGTGTTAGTGAAAAACAAACAAACCACAACTTACAAATACCAAACTCATAAGAACCCATATAACCAACCTGAAAGGAAAATTTATTATCAGACAACAAGAAAAAGTCACAGTTCCCAAGGCCTTATGACAGCCTAGGAACATTAAATAAGGCCAGAAATGAAATACTCACCATCCATCAATGTTTTGGCTGGCTTCCTTGCTTAGTCGTGCAGCTGACCCAGTTCCTCTCAGGCTGAGAAAGACTTCCAGTTTCATGGTCAGACTCCCTCTACTGAAATAGAGTCAAATGTTCAGAGTCTGTTTGAAAGAACGACTTTGTACGGTTTCTGTCAAATGGGCACCCTTGTTGTCTAACCACAACAGATCTTTTTACTGTCAGGAAAGGTTCAACACTCAACAATTACATGCCAGAAAATGTGATTAAGAAAAATCTCACAGAATATCAGAAGTCCAAAAGAAGAATGGCCTCATCTATTAAAACAAGGTTTTATTTTTATCTATGTGAAATACAAATATGCTGTCTTGGTTTGTTCATTGCTTCTGTAACAAAATAACAAAATATGAGAGATTAATAGAGATTGCCTTGCCTTGCAACATGGACATACAGCAAAAGTACTGATTTCTCTTAGCTCAATCCTTTTTTATTCCTTTGCTTGATTTATTTTTTAACTAGTATACAAACTAATTTTAAGTGTGCATACTAGTGGGTATTATATAATACAATGGTTTAGGGCTTGTGGGCCAGAAATGAGCAGCCATGTGTGACGGATGCAACTTGTGGTTCTGGACCTCAGGCCTGTGGCTGCACTCAGACATTCCCTCTCTTGATCTTCCCTTAGCTCAGCATTCTCTGGATATCCCCCTCACACTTGAGCCTGGTTGCTCTGACCTCAATGCAATTCACACATCTAACCCATGCAACCCCTTCTTCCCCAGGATCTGTCCTGATACGCTCCCTCGTCGTTCCAGCGCTATCCCGCAGTAACTGATACCTTCCATAGCTTCAGCAGCCTCTCTCCCATGGTTCACAGTTCTCATTGAGTCTCCTTATCACCATTTCTGACTTTCTTTCTTTGGATCCAACTTAGGAAGGTCCAGAGACACTCTCTTCACCACGGTATTAAGAAATACGCTGCTTCTGGGTTGTGGAGCCCAGTCCCAATGGGTACATCTACAAAACATGGCACGCCAAAGGCGTGGGAATTGTCAAAGAGGGGGCTGAGGGGACATCAAGGAAGACTGGTTGGAAAGAATGTCAGCTGGAGGAGGATGTCGGGATAGGCTCCAAATGTCATCTTCTGGGTTCAGCACACCATTGCACTCATGGAATAACTGCTGTTGTGGTCACCTGCATAGGATTGGACCCTATCAGTATTTCCTCATGGGTGGAGGAGGAACCCTTGAAGGTCCCACACTCCCTGGCAAACTACTGGCAATTAACAGTTGCTGGGAAAGAAAGCTTAATTTTCTTCAGAGAGCTACTGAGAAGTTGTTATTTACCCAGTAATTAGATCCCTGCTCAGGTTCATGCAAACAATCCTATGCAAACTCAGTGTGTTGCATGCAAAAGTGTCAGGCAAGTAGGAGGGGCACTGCTTAGGAGGGAGGGTTCCCACAGGAGTGGGCGCGAGATGAAATGCGGTGACTGAGAGTTATTACATATGCATAAAATTGTCAAAGGATACGTGGAAGGAAGGGGAGAAAGAAGAAATGGAAGGAGGGAGGGAAGAAGGAAGTAAGGGAGGCAGAGAAGGGCTTGAGGGAGGGAGGGAAATGCATGGTCCAAGGGAACACTAGCACATGAAAAGTCTTTGCTCCATCTGCCTGGTGTGACAATGGCGGGAGTAATGAGGGAGAGCCACTGCAGATTTGCACTCCCTGGTGGCAATGAGACAGATAGGATGCTGGAGGAGAGGACAGACAATGGCAATCACCCTTCAGAGTGGGCAGAGGTGGGGAGCTGACACTGGGGAGGGGTCCGATGGTGGGGATGAAATGGGAGAGCAGTGTAATCATTGCAAAGACTGGCTTTGGGACATTTCCTTCAGCTCTTTGGGTGGCTCTCCTAGTGGAGACTGGGTTTCTGAGGAAGATCGAGCCCTGCAAAACTATCATGTGCGCACCACAAATTCTCTTCCAGGCCTCTCCCAGAGGTACCTGGAGCCATGTACTGGGTGACCAAACACTTGAGAAACATTCAACCCTTCTGGGACTTGTGAGGTTCTGACTCTGAGTAATGCTAACATACGGGTATCTGAGGTAGCCATGGACTCACACCATGTGCATCTCCTGCCATAGGAAGCTGGGCAAGCCAACAATTACTCTGTTCTGGATCTAGCATCCTCTGGTATTTCCTCTAAGGGCTGGTGCTCTTGCTCAGCAGTACACTGTTTGCTTAGCCTGTGCAGGGCCCTGAATTCCACCCCCAGAACTGCTAGGAAAACAAGATGGAATAAAACAAAACAAAACTGCTCATCTGTATTTTCCCAGGTTCTGTTCTGGCCCAGGAGGAAAGCCCCACTGATTCCTCCCCACGGGCACCACACTGAGCTATGCAGAGGCTGTTTTCCTGCTGAAGCTCTAGCTCTCCGTCTCAAGTTTGTTTTCTTTCAGAATATAAATGCATTTATGCAAAAGAAGGGCGCGAACCCTTGTCGTTCCACACATCTGTCTTTCCCTGGGCCCTGTGGCATGATACAGTGACCATGCATTCAGTGTGGCTGCCGCATACCACAAACTGCAGAGGTTTAAAGCAAAACCCACTCACCCTCCACAGTCCCCACAGACCAGAAGGCCAGGCAGGAGTTAGCTGAAATTAGGCATCAGCAAGCTGTGTTCCCTCCTGATGACTCAGGGAAGAGTTCACTCCCAGTCTGTTTAGCATGTCAAGTGAGTTCAGTCTTTTGTGACTGCGGAACTGAGTCCTTGTCTGTCTGTCTGTCTGTCCGTCCGTCCGTGGGCTTCTCTCAGCTCTTATGGATCTCTGGCTCTTTGCTACATGCATGCCTTCTCTGTCCCACAAAAGTGAGTCCTCCCAGCACGGATACCCTCTGTCTCATGTCTTTCTTCAGGAAAAGTTCTGTACCCCATAAGAGGTACCTTCATTAGGTCTACTGGCTTAGGATCCTAATTACCGTCACGAAATCTTGTTTTCTACAAAATTTAGAATAATAATTTAGAATAATCCCAGGCATGAGATCTCATCACTGATGTTGCCCCCACTCAAGGACATTATGTAGGTTCAGGGTCATTAGGAATCATCTTAGAGTTCTGCCTACCACAGTGTTATGGAAGCATGTAGAGTAGAGCCTGGAGAGATGTTCTAGCTAAGAGTACTTGCTGTCCTTCTGGAGGACCCAGGTTTGGATCCCAGCACTTACCTCAGGTAGCTCACAGCTGTCAGTAACTCTGGCTTCAGAGGATCTGATCCCTCTGCGCTACAAGGGCACCTCCACTCACATGCACATTCCAACATGCAGATCCACATACCTATATATAATTAAAACTAATACAAATAAATCATTTTGCCAAAACCCTATTTCAAGTTTGTTTTTTTTAAAAAAGGATGACAAATCTCTGCTCTCTCAGAACAAATAATAAACAAGATTACAGCACTATTTTCAGACAATATAGGACAACTCTACAAGGCTTCTGTTTGCTAAGGGACAGAGAAGCCCCTAGCTTCCTTAGTTCTTTCCTAGGGACAGTGTCTCATCAACTGACAATGAACTGTCATTCAAGTTGAGTACAGCAGCTTCACTGTTTGCTTAGCCTGTGCAGGGCAAGAATCTGACTTAAGACCATGGAAGCAACTGAATTATATGGGAAAGATCTCCAGCACTGAAGAGCCAGCTATGTAGACGGGTGGCCCCAGAAGTCCTTGTAAGAGTCATGGTACCTAATCAATGACTGGACTGGGCTGCACCTGCAAAAGAAAGATTGAACAGCGAGTCAATACCAAAGGATTGAGTATGGGCAGGAGATACTTGAGATAGAGAAACACTGGGAAATAGATGGTGGAGTTATCCAAGTTAGTAAACTTCAGGAGTACTGCATGAGCACCCACAGACCCAGCAGAGATACTAGAAGAGCTGTCTTAGGGATCAGTGCCAGGTTTTATAATAAGACATCTCTAGAACAACCCTAACTAAAGCCTAAAAGCAACATTGGCAAATTCCATAGAAAAACTGGATTGTGACTGAGTTCTAGTCAATTTGAGGGTCCCAAGAAACACTGAGGACTTCTCCACTGATCACCCTATTGAAGCAAACACAACTCCAAAGTGATTGGCTGTCCACTAGAACAAAATCAGTTCATAAACTCGATGACAATAAATTAACCTAACTACAAAAAACTAAGATGTTTTACTAAGACCTGCACATTCTCCAAACAAAGAATATTCACCAAGATGGACCACATTTGATTAGCCATAAACTAAGTCCCAATAAAATGTTTAATTACTATTGTTTGTTAACCATAAAACCACATTAGAATTAACAACAATAAGACATCTGTGAAATAACCAAATATTTGAAACTTAAATAATATCCTGCTAAATAACATAAGTCAAAGTAGAAAAGACACACACACACACACACACGCACACACACACACAAATCTGGGAAATGTTTCAAACCTAAGGACAATCACAATACTGAATAATGAAGTTGGCAGGCTGTACAGCTAAACAGACAATTAGAAGGAAATATACTACTTCATAAGACTGGACTAGAGAAGGGAATCTTTAAAATATCCATCTTACTCTCTTTTCTCATATTTTATGTAGTTTCTTTATTGATTCTTTGGGCCTATCACATCGTGCCTCCCAATTCCAATCACCTCCCAATATCTTCACATCCACCCCTTATCCTTTCAGTGCCCCCCCCCAACATACAAGAAATTTTTTTTTAAAGCTAAAACAAAACAAACAAAAGCCCTTGCTCCTGTCTGTCCTTCCTCTCCACTCCTCCTGGATATCCCGCAGACACCCTAAGTCAAGGAGATCCTTAGGGTACCATTCATGTGCTCCAGCAGGTCATGGACGGGGTAGATGTCAGGGTGGACCGAGCCAAGGCCCTGGAATGGGTCTGGGTAGCAGCTGAGCTTGTCTCTCTGGGCCACTGTGCTGCCTGCCCTGCTCAGGTTAGGGATGCGGCCAGCTCTCCTATACTCATGCCATCAAGGCCAGCTCTCCCATGCCTGTGCTGAGAGGCGGGGCTGTCTCTCCCAAGGTGGTGGGGGGGGAGGACCTCACCCATGAGGCTCCAGGACCAATGAAGGTCAGAGCAGACTCAGCATGGTCCTCTGATTTCATCACGTTTTGTTCCTATGACCTCCTGTGGTAACATGCTACAGACATCAACACAGACCCCAGACGGAGCAAGACTATGAACCCAGACATGGCCCTCAACAGCAGCTCTGGCCTGGACGTCACCATGGCACCAGATAGCAGTGCAGGCCACTCAGATCTGTATGGCCCCAGCTGTAGCATGGCCCGTGGACACCAACATGGTCTCAGGTGGCTGACCAGATCCAGGGCATCCACAAGGCCCTCTGTGGCAACAGGAGCTATGGAGGTCAACTCAGACCCAGGCTGCCGTAGGGCCAGGGACCCAGACATGGCCCTCAGCTTCAGCCATGGCGTTGGGTGGCAGCACAGGCCACTCAGATCAGTGTGGTTCCCTGTAGCAGCACAGCCATTAGACAGACACCTATATGGCCATGGGTAGCAGACCAAACACTTGGACATCCTTGAGGCCTTTGATGGCAGCGTGGGCCATAGTTGTCAAGGCAGACCCTGGCTGTGATAGGGCTACGGAGGCAGACATGGCCCTGGGCAACAGCACAGGGCCCAGACATTACAGTGGCCCTGGGTGGCAAACAGGCCACCAACCTACTCCCCACTACATTCATGTCGCCCCTTCCGCCTCTGTCCACAGCACACAAACCATTCTGCTTCTCTCCGTCTCCCATTTCGACACCATATATCTGCTCATCATCTCGACACTCAAGGTTCTGGGTGGGCCTGTGGATGTCTTCTCGCCAGCCCAGGCTTTGAGGACCCAGGCTGGCCTGTGAGTGACCTGCACCTACTTGAGCTGAGTGGCATCAAGCGGGTTGTGGATTCCATCTTAATTCCTAACCTGGACAAGCAGCTTGAACCCAAAGGAGCTAGAATTAAAAAGATCTCAAAGAGTAGAATTCAGAACAATAATGGAAAACCCAAGTCAAAAACCTGTTTTTAAAATATTAATAGAATGGATAGATATATGGAAAGGCTAACTGAGAAAAGTGAGAGAAAACATAAACATTCTAATTTCATTCACTATCCCATGGAGAAAGGGGGGTATGTGAGTGAGGACGCACAAATGCCACCATGCACACGTGGTGGTCCCAGGACAACTCTGCAGAGCTGCTGCTCCCTCACTCTTGTGTGGGCCCCAAGGACCAAAGTCTGTACCCACTGAGCTATCTTCTTAATCTTCTTAAATATAGCATCTGCAGATGCTGAAGACACTGCAAATAATATAATGAAAGTCTAGCAGATAACTTTATACCCATGAATGTGATGTTAGGTGAAAAGGTGAGCTTGGTCCCCAGCAGCCCAGTTTTGTTTTTTGCTTTTGTTTTTTCCTAAGTCTGTTTTCTTTAATAAGGCAGAGTGTTTTTGTTGTTTATTTATATGTTACAAAATCTTGTTAGGTAGCTGTCTTAGTCAGGGTTTCTATTGCCGTGAAGAGACACCATAACCATGGCAATTCTTTTTTTTTTTTTTTGGTAACATTTTTTAATAATTTATTTTTTACATTCCAATCCCAGTTCCTCCTCCCACCTCTCCTCCCACTACCCCCACTACCCCCCACCTCCCATCTTGCTCCTCAGAGAGAGTAAGCCCTCCCCTAGGAAGTCTACTAAGTCTGTCCCATCATCTTGGCAGGACCAAAGTATCCCCCCATGTCTAGACCAGCAGCCCGGTTTTTAAAGCTAGGCATGATGGAGTGTGTCTGTAGTTCTAGCACTGCACAGGGAGGGGATGGCAGAAGGATCCTTGCAGCTCTCTGGACAGTTAGTCTTGCTGAATCAGTGAGCTCCAGGTTAATGACTCAAAAACCAAGATGGAGAATGACAGAGGATGATGTCTCATTTTCCTATGTAACGCATATGAAAACATGCATTCTAGGGCCTTCTTAGATGTAAAGCAGACAAAGTGAGAATATAATCAACCTTACACACACACACACACACACACACACACCTATGACTGAGCTCATGGTTAGAAATGAAACACTGAGTGTTCCCCACCTAAAAAAGGGACCAAAGGAAGGATATTGTCTCTGACTGAATTGACTCAATACTATTCTTATCCAACACAACAAGGAAAAAGAAAGACAAAAGGGAACAAAATGGAAATGTGAAACTCTCTGAGAGGAAGGAGGGAGGGGCTGGAGAGATGGCACAGCAGTTCAGAGCCCTTGTTGCTTTTACAGAGGGCCGGGATTTGGTTCCCAGCACCTACAACCCACACGGTGGCTCTCACCTGTAACCCCAGATCCAGGGGATCCAATGTCCTCTTCTGACCCCCACAGGCACCAGGGATATGTACATGAAAACAAAACACTCATACATGTGAACTATTAAAATTTTTAAAAAGTGTGTATGAGAAAATCTCAAGGAGTTGTCAAATTACCACTTTTAATATGTAATTTTGGGAGAGTCACAGTATTCAAATTCAATGAACAAAACCAATAAGTCTCAACACAGGAAGCCATGACACGAAGAAAATTCACAATTCTAAAACCATCGAATGCCATTTTTTTTCTTAAATTTCTTCTGTAAGAAAAAAGTCCTCTTAACCACAGAGCCACCTCCCCCAGCCCTGCAATTACATTTATATAAAACAAACGAATGAATAAGCATCTATTTATAGACTGGGGAGCTAGCTCCGTGGGCAAAGCACTTGGTGTACACTTACCAGTGTTCAGATCCCCAGCAGCCATCTAAGGCCAGACACATGATTCCATGTCTGCAATTCCAGAGCTCCTGTGGAAAGGTGGGTGACTGAGACAAGAGAAGCCTTGGAAGCTCACAGGCCAGCCCTTCACGCAGTGGTGAAACAACAAAGGCCCATCTCAAACAGGGCAGAAGTAGAGGACTGATTCGTGTGTCACGGCCCTTGTGAGAATGCACGTGCACTCACGTGCACACGAATGCACACTGTACACACTCTGTCTACGCATTATCTCTATCGCACTAATACCATAAAATTGTTCCTAATCAGCCTTGAATGACGCATCTTCCAAGTACACCGTTGGATGCTCTTTGACAAACGTCTACACCCACATAATTACTACCTGGTCAAGACCAGACATTTACAACATCCAATGTCTTGGCAGACACTTCTTCACCTAAGCTGGCTTCCATAATTATACATTAACTTTACCTGTTTTAAATGTCATCTAAATTGAAGCATTTGTCACACATTTTTTTGTTGCTGTCTGGCTCCTTTTGTTCCATGTGGCATTAGGGCATTAGGAGACCCTGCTATGTTATTAGTGGTACCAGATGTTTATTGTTTTTATTGCTGACTGCTGCATACAGATTTACCCTGGGCAATGCAGCCCTGGGTTCTTATGTGTGTTTTGGATCTGTTTTCCTGCCTCTTCAGTATCCCCAAAGGGTCACACAGCTTTGTATGCAACCTCCAACCTGTTTTCTGAAACAATTGCAGTACCCAGCCCTTTCCCAATAGCAGATGAGATGTACCTGGCTTGAATTCTCTCAGCACTTGGTGCCATCAGCCATTTAATTTTAGCCACTAATAGATGTTGACCTGAGATTTCATTGTGCTGTTCACTTTCATCTTCCTGATAACTGATGGATTTGAGCATCTGTTATGCATTAATGCTAGGAGTGCATTAATGTTGATGCACCTTTGACTGTATAGTATTGAAATATGTACTGCATCTTGGAGTTGCCATACCTGGATGGTAACCTCTGTGGTAGATGATTTTGCATGGTCTCAGAGTCCTTTGTCATACATCTAGATTGTGTATACTGTTGGTACAAACAGCAGAAGTTCTGCTGCATCTTAACTTATCCTTTTCCAGTTTCCCCTTAATACTTTGTTTTGCGTGTGAAACATAGGAAATCACCACCCAACTTAGGGTCAGAAAGATTTTCACCATAGTTTTTTTTCCTAGAATGTAGAGCTTTACTTCTTCTATGTATTTGTGTATGCATGTGTGCATGTCAGAGTCAAGGTTGGGTGTCTTCCTCACTCCTACTCATCTTTTGTGATAGGGTTTGTCGTAGAATCTGGACTTGATTTAACTGGCCTAATCCAACAAGCACCAGGGATTCTTCCTCCTTACCTCTATCAACCTCAGGTCTCCATGCTTGCCAGGCAGACTGAAGCATCTCCCCACTGCAGTTTTTATATTTAACACAGAAAAGTGTGGGTCACTTAAAGGTTAGCTTAACTACTCTCTCCTAGAGATTTAAGAAGTGCTGCCACTAATCCAACAAGAAGAGGGTGCTTTGCAAAGAAACAATCAAATGCAAAACACGATTGTTAAAATAAAGTTCAGGGGTGTTTGTAAAGTTTGGTGGCTGGGCACTTTCCCAGCATGTGCAAGACCTTGAGTTTAATCCTCCATACTACAAAAGTAAGGGAAGTTAAAAGGGCAACAGGGGTATGGAACGGTCTGTTCCTAATTTCAGAATTTCTGTTACCAATCTGCCAGCCAATAGTGAGGAGCGTTTTGGTCCAAGGGGCGGAGTTTTCGAAAAGGTAGGCAGGGGA